GAAACCCAACGCATAGCAAATTGCGAATTAGATCAGTATTTGGGATTCCATTAATCCCAAATACTGATCTATTCTAGTAAATTTCTATTCTAGTAAGTTTCTATTCTAGTGAAATCAAATCATGTATTTAAAAGATTTAATTTTGAAGGCTACTACATATATAAATATATGTAAAGGGAATCCGCAAACAACATGCGGATTTCACTTACAAATTGCGGATTCCATTTACAGTTGCGGATTCTGCAACAGCTCAATTTAACGATACAAATGTTTTTTCATTTGTTTGCGGATTCTACAAACTGTACTGGATTCCGCAAATACATATTTTTCGGGCAATTTAGAGCGGTACAATGTTTTAGGTATTTGTTTGTGAAATCCGAAACAGCATAGAAGATCAAGGAAAAGTAGCAATGTTGCGGATTCTGCGACAAATATGATTTTGGCCTGTTGCGGTTTCCGCTTACATTGCAGAGAATGCACATTTTGGCCTCGTAATGATTTTGATTTATAGAAAAATGCTTCTCATACAAACTTAATATTTAAAAAAATGCTTATCGTAGAGTTTTCCTACAATTTTTTTGTACATGTGGAATTGCACAAAACTGTATCATGAACATTTTTCCGAATATAAAATTGTATAACAAGCGTTTTTGATCAACCCGGGTGGTGAGCAAGAATGTAATGTTTTCAAATTAGTTGGGTTAGCAACCCTTCACAAAATTTGATTCAGATTATTTTATGTTCCGACTTTTGAAGAAAATGCTGCAGTGCTCGCTTTTCTCGAACAGCATTCCGCTTTTTTATTTGAGACTTGATAGGGTTTTTAAAATATCTGAAAGCTATTTGTGTCTTGTTATCAAAATCAAAAACTTAATTCAATTGCGACAACTTTTTGTAAAATTATAAGTATTTGTTAAAATTGAATATGACCAAAAAAGGGTAAGTATTGGTACTGATAATCACTAAGCGGCAAATTAATTAGACCAAAATAGAATTTAAGCAAACGTTAGTTTTTTTTATTATAAGTCATTTGACGCGATACATCTTATATCATTTTATACTTTACCTGGCATCTGGGGATGAGAAAGCAAGACTCCTTGCATCAAGGTTACGCTCTGAATGATCCGACAGCCCTATCACGTCTATGAGTATATTTCGATTTACAGAAATTCTTAAAATTTTCAAAAGAAATGCAAAAAATAAAAAAAAATTCTGACGGACACGTGTAATGCTAGTATTTTCATAATTGAACTGCTTTTATTTATCTGAAAATTTTCAGATATTAAATTTTAAGGATCTTTGAATAAAATCTTTTTCTGTTTTATATGAACTTTCCTTTCTTCTGATCTCATTCACATCTTCGTTCTTCAAAAAGTCCCAAATTTTTTGTTGTTCCGAAAAATTTTTTTCGATGGGCGTTCCAAATACCTAGAAAAGAGAGTTGTTATGCACAGCTTAACTTTGATAGTTTTCTTAATTAGCATCTCTTATTATTAATTTTTGTTTAAGGATTTGAAAAGCAAGAAAGACGATGCGCAGAAGCTGCTTTTCTTAAAACTCAATCGCCAAACCCACCCCGAGCATATAAATTTCGCTTGGACCAAAAATCAGGAAAAAACTACACAAGAAGCAAATAGCTCACAGCCAGAAAAAAAAGAGCATTGTTTTATATTTTTAGCCAGAAGATTTGAAAATAGGAAAAGTCGTTTTATTGAAAGAAGCATTAAAAAATTCTGTTTTGCAAAACAAAGTCGATGTTTTGGAAAACAAATTGGTCTAGTGAAACAATAGTTTCATTGACTTATGGGCAATACCTGCAGGATTGTAATTTTTGTTTAATTTTGGCTTTAATTTTTGATTGATCACATACAACAACCAGTCTGTATAAAAAAAAACAGTTGATTTTAAGCTTTTGTTGAGAAAATTGATTGCCGCAGATACCAAACCAATTAACCAGCGAAAAATATAGAATGAAAAGACGCCTACAGGTGTAAAAAGGCATACTAGGGATGTTTATTTTTATGTAATCAGAAAACAAAAAAGCTCAGTTTGTTTCAAAAATCTTAGTCTACAGTGATTCGAAATCTTTATATTCACTTTGATCGGACTGTTTGTTAAATTATTCAGTCATTTTCGAAGCAAAGAATAAAAAACATGAAAGTGATACATTTTGACTACTTTTGTGGGGAAAAAAACTTCAGACGCCACCAACAAAAATACTTCAATTCATTTATTTACAATCAATGCATGAAGATATAAAATTCCTATTTTTGCACAATTAGTTCAAATTTTTGCTTTTCAAAATAAACTTTTCTTTTTCTACTATTTATGGCACCAATCACTATTATTATATCAATTGAAGCACGTAGACTCACTAAAAATTTGGCTCAAATATTACTTGTTTGATTTTTGAAGAACGTGACGGATAGAAAATTTGTGCTCTGTGTGTTATTTTAACCCCGCCATTTTTCTTAAAATTTGAAAGCTATCGGTGTCTTTGGCTTACATTTTAAGGCTCTTTTCCAGTCCCCCCCCCCCATTTTTCAAAATAACGAGTTTTATGTTTGTTTTTACGTGTTATTACGACTAAACGCTTGATGTTACGCTGTAAAGTATGAAGAACAAATCTGTTCACAGTTGTCGATTTGTTCAACACGCCAAATTTCATTGCATTATGACAACGTTAAATAGACTTTTAAAAATTGAATTTGAAAGGGGGAAACTGGAAAAGAGCCCATTTAAAAAAAAGTTTTCAAGTGATTTTCTAATAAGAATTTTAAGGTGGTTTGAAAATTACCTGTTTGGCAAACTTGGAATTAATAACGCGCGATGTATTTCAAGCTATTAATGCGTATGCAGCAATTTAATCAGGGAAGGAAATCGTTCCTAATTAATTTGAAGCACATAATTTAGAACTTTTAGTAGGGTTATCAACATTAAAAAGACTGCTTATGTTCGCCTGAAGCCCTGATAATTCCGACGACTGTTTTTAAGATCTATTGAGTTGAGTTTGCTTTAAAAAATGAAAAAACTTTAAAAATCTCTCCCACATCCTTTAAAAAGAACAAAATGATAAATTTTGCATAGAGAAAATTTTTAAGTAAACCAAATTGCTTGCCTCAATTTTTAAATTTTAAGTCAGGTTAAGTCTACGCTTACGCTTTAGTAGCACTAAATAAATCGCGCGTTAATTGTCCCATATTGGCCAAGTTGGTAATCTTTAAACACCCATCAATCTTATGAAAAAGTAATCACAGGCGAAATATCTTTTAAAATTTGAGCTTGAGACATGTATAAATTTTGGCTGAATTGATCAAAAACCCGTAACAATTGCTAGCTAAAAGAATCCGTCAAGCCTAATTCTTGGGTCACTTTCTTCGAAAATTGGAACAACAAGATTGCTCCTGCACGTATATAAGAGAAAAAACTTAACGGTTCCAATTTGAAACTAAAAAAATTGATAAAAAAGTAAAAATAAGAAAAAGAAAAATAGCTCAGAAACAAATGAAAAATTCCATAGTTTCTTTTCCGTCCTTCTACACGCTATGTAAGATACAAAAGGATTAATTCAGTATGTTTTATTTTATGAATAAGACCAAATTGCTGATCTCAATTCAAGTTAGAATTATTGTTGCGACTCTCGTAACGAAAGTGACAGAATAATTGTGCTCGGGGAGCGCTTTTTTTCTTCAGAAAAGTTTCAACTTTTTAACTAGTCATTTTGAGGGGAATTTTTTTATCATTCAAAAGGTACTGTTGTCCTGAAATTAAAATTGAAAAAAAAAACATTTCACCTGTGATTCGTTTTCGTAAAGCTATGGGGGTTTAAAGGTAGCCATTTTAGCCAATTTGGAACAATTAACGCGCGATACATTTCGCGCTATTAACGCGTAAGCGGAGATTTAATCCGTCTTAGAAATAGTTCCAAATTGGTTAAAGGAAGCTTATTTGCCATAAGTGATTTGTTACAAGGAGCTAAATTTATCATTTGCTACTGTATATGGCATGTGGTGGGATGATTCACAAAAATAAAACTTAACTTAAAAGAAAAGGTTTCATTTTATTAATTTTTTTTTGTTATCACTGCTCCATAGACCTTAAAAAGCAGTCGGAACAATCAGGGTTTTGCGAGCAGTTATGTTTATTTTGCAGCTTAATTGTTTTAAATGAACGCAAAATATTGCTCCTGAGTTATTCCAAATTTGAATTATCAATTTTCAAATCCCGACGGTTTTTCAAAAAAAGATCACAGATGAATAATCTTCTTAAAATCGGAGCTCAAGACAGCTGTTACTTCCAAGTGGTGTTATTTTGGCAAAAACTCAATTTTCATTAAAACCAAAACATGACTGAAAAAAATCACCCCAGTTTAAAAATTTCTTATCTTTCTTCGGATATCGAAACATTTACAATACTTTTATGAGGGAATAGTGAGTAACTTTTCTTAGAAAACTTTATTATTGTAGGAAAACCTCGCTCAAGAGCTTCCAAGCTTGTAATGCGATAGCTAGCGAAAAGGCTACAACTTGCAGCAAATGAGACCACAAGACGAAAACATTGAGAAAACCGACAACTCGCAAAGGTTGAAAACGCGGCAATGAGAATTCCGCTGATCCATTTTGATTCGCTGGAACTAGTCCTCTAAAGTGCATGAATGAGTGTTTACTGCTACTCTAGATTGATAGTTAAAGAGTTCTTCATTTAATTGTTTATTTTCGCGAGTTACCACGTTCCTTACAAATTTCAAGTTTTCTATATTTTTGCAAGTAGAGTACTAGCTTGTTGCGAGTTGGCATTTTATGTTTCACTTTTAATTTCAAAGAAATCATAATAATCGACTTTTTTGCATATAGCATCAAAAAATGAAGCCTTATTTTGCTTGGAAACTCTCCCTTCTCACGCTCATTCTCAAAATAATGAGCGCCGAAAATGACACTAATTATGCTAACGGTGTTGACTATGAAGTAAAACTTCTTCGAAAACTTGAAAACGTTCTCCCAAAATCCCTTCCGCCATCGGACATGTTGGACCGAACTATACGAGTTTTTGTGGATATCAACCAAATTTCGGACGTGAATGAAAAAGATGGCTACTTGACTATTCAGCTGTGGATCTACTGCGCGTATGGATCACCTTCGGCAGCGTGGGACCCCCTGGAGTTCGGAAACACGACAGAGATCACAGTACCACAGAGTACTTTTTGGGTTGCAGACATTAGTTAGTTCATTTTATTTTAACAAACGATGAAAGCAAAGTTTTTTGTGCCACGGAAAAAACTTTAGCCCTGCATAAATATCAACAAAACGTAATTCATATTTAAGAAAATTTTACATTTTGATGGTTTAATAGCATAGAAAACTTGGAACACAATTGTTCATACGCCACTTGTGCTTCTCTTATCTTTATTCATATCACCTAAATGAGTTCAAATTCAAATTCAAAAAATTGTTAGTCAAAAAACGTTTTGTAATTGTTTGACTTGATGCAACTTTGGTTTTAAAAAAAAATTTAACTTCAAGTAGCCTTTTGGACTTCAAAAGTTATCAAAAAGGGGGACTCGAAGTAGCCGTGTCAGCTAAATATATTTTACTGTGTTTCTAGACGTGCTTGATGCGCTGGAGGTAAAGTATGAGTCATTTGAACGGCAGCTTGTGGACGCGGGAGGAGTTGTGGGCTTCTGGGCATCTCTGGTGACCATGAATGTGGCCTGTTCTTTTGACATCACTCTGTTCCCCTTCGATGAACACCAGTGTGACATCGTGGTCGGTGCCTGGATCATGCCACAGAGGATATACCGAATCGGTTAGTTCGAACTGATAAAATAAAAAAAATGTGAAAAAAGTTTCACGTATTAAATAGAATTAGAAAAAGAAAAGGAAATCTCTCAGTTTGAAAGCGATGGATTAAGTCAATAAAAACAATTATTTTTTAAAATGATTTTAAAACAACTTGAGATTTCCAAGCGTTTTCCAACGGTTTCGGATCAAGTTAGCACATCGCATTCCGGATCAAGGGGAGGGAGGTTTTTGACATAATTTGAACTTGACCCAGGGTGTAAAAAAGAGCAGATAAAAGGTAAGAGGTTGACACAGCCATACTTCATCAATTCACTACCTGAAAATGGCCCGTCCAGCCGTGTCTTTTACATTTTTTATCTAAATTTGCCAGTGTCAAACGTTTTCCACCAATTTGTCAGAAAAAGACTATTCAGTTCGGACAAATAACTTTTACTATTCGGATACATAAAATTATATTAAAACAATTATTACAATAACCAAAGTTAAGAACGAAATTAACCAACGAAAAATCAATAAGAAAGTATTAGTTCATTATGATGATTATAATTTTAAAAATCAGTCGACGAAACAACATCGAAATTAAATTAAAAACCAATGATTTCTGAGGTCAAAGCAGATTTCTGAAGTTCTGTGCTAATTTTCGGGCTGCCGGTTACTCGTGTAGTCTTCAAAATCGGTCTCTGATTTCACTACGACCTGCTTTTATTTCAGGTCCTCTGGACAGTGATGGATATTCTAAGCCTGGCTAAAGCGCCTCTTCGGTTTTATAAGGACCCGATCGCATCAGTAAGAAAGAGCGCACGTGGTCTGAAGGTAAGGAGTGCGCTAAGTGAACTATGCATTAAGACTTTGCTTTGAAGTAGCAAATGGCTCTTTTTATAGTTTCCCACCCCGCATAAAATCAAAATCAAAATTCGTCTGGAACTGTTTATACTGTTTTTACCCGTAAGAAACTTTGTATTACTTTGTTCAACTGTTCACGCTGGAATGTTTTATTTGCTTGGAATATAAAACACATAATTTAGAAGTTTAGAAATTTAGAAAAAATCATGGGGAACTAGAAAAGAGCTGCAGCATCAACATATCGATGATCTATTGAATTTTAACTAGTGAGTTGGGACGGATGGTCTGACTCATAGAGTAATTTCAGATAAGGTACACCGTCTGCTCGTCACGCTATCTTATTTCCGGCCGGATAGATTCGTGCAACTTCTTAGCTTAATACCGATCTTAATGTTACTCTTATATCTCTTAGTCTCAATAGATCTAGAGAATACTGGTTTTGTTACGAGTCGGTCTCTTGGAGAAAGCAACTAAATTTTAAGTTAAATTCAAAATGCTCTGGTGCTGAAATTACAAGTAATTTCAGCACTTACAACTAAGTGGGTTGTTAATTTGATGGAGTGTCATTGTTTAGTCTTAAATATTTTATAGGGATAAAATATCTAATTTATAACCAATAATAATATATAATTTGGATCAGGTTCCACTCATCCGGGGTTAACAGAGTTTTTGTTCTTTTGACTTTTATCTGTAATGGAGGATGGATGATGATCGTTTGTATTTCGCGAGCACCATCTCCATTTCCTGCTTGGAGGTGAAAGTTCCAGGAAACTGGAATCGTAAATGTCATTCAGCGATGACTGAAATCGTCAACAAAATCAATTTGATTTCCAAATGGTTTGTTAGGATCGTCTTTTCTTGATCGGTGTGGAGAACTGTGATTCGATCTTCTTTGGGAATGGCGTGAAGCTCGAGTTTGGAGAGAAAGCGTTGTAACTCGGATCTGTACGTATACTTGAACACCGAGGTGGTCATTGGTCTGTTTCAATGAAGTCCTTTGCTTCGGAGTCAAGTCGTACTTCAAATCCTTTGAGTTGTGGTTGTGAGCGACATATCGGTTGTGTTAAGCCATTGTGTGGATTGAGTGTGATGAGGTCATCTTAGCTTCTTGATGCTCGTCTTCGTGATTGTGTATGGTCTATATTACTGCATTATATAATTTACATGAAAAAATGTTTAGTTAGTTCTTCTATTAGCTATGATTTTTCATTAGTTTTTATCGCAAAAGCTTTTATTTTAGTTCAGTTATTTTTAGAGAGTTACTCACACTTGAGTACCTCTTGTCAAAAGTAAGGAGTGTGTCACAAAGCGTGTAATCTAGCACGGTGGGTTAGGCCGGCTATTAAGCATGCTCAGGACGTCCTCTTCTGGTGGGTTAGGCCAGGAGTGAGGGTATGATTGCATGCTGGTTTTTTATGGGGTCCTGTTTTGTATTAACCTTTTATGTCATGTTTGTTACTGGTTTTTTCCTTTTGTTGTTTTGGGTTGTGTCCTTTTTCTCAAAAATCGTTTGGCTTTATCTTTCGACTTTTTTGGTGTTTTTTGTTTTCTTTGTTAGACTTATCAATAGTCTTCAAGAAAATAAATTATCGGGTTCTTTAAGCTGGTTTAATCCGGTTTGGATACCGTGGGTTTTATTTTCTTAGTCATGCTGTTAGTTTGTGGTTTATGGTGTTTAGTAAGCTGCGTTGGTTAGTTGGGATTATTATATAATTCCTTTCCAACCGGGTTAAAAGAAAATTGGAAATTTGTTATTATTAGTTTGAGTTGATAGTAGTGAAAGTTAAAACTTGAAATCATTATTTTAAACAATTCGTCGTGAGCGAGCTGTGCGAGTGTGGATAGAATTTTTGCGCGAGTGAATTTGGTCTTGAAAAGGTTAGTACTGCTGGCATTTGTATAGATTTTGTACTGAAAATTTTAAATTTACTGCTTTGTGAGGATTGAAATTGATAAATTATGTTCATTGTATATAGATTTACTACATTGGGGAAAAGAATTTATAGATGAACTTACTACTGTGGAGAAGAAATTTTACTGCATCCTTTAATGCGGTTTGTTAATAAAAGTTTATAAGTAACAAAAGAATTTTTATGTTTATTTTCTGGTTGTAGATGATCGTGATCTGAAGACTAAAGAAAAAACATTTGATAAGAACTGGTTAATTTGTTTCGAAATTATTAGTGTTTAAATTATTTAATTCATACTTACCTAGTCAACGGGGAAGAAGCCATGAGGGAAGATATCTTGTGTAGCATCTGATGTGGTTAGTAGTTTTGCTAATATGCGAATGATGTTTTTAGTTTGAAGCTGTGGCCCAAGCAATTGAAGTGCTTTTATGGTCTTTAATTCTTCAGTGCCAATGAAAAATTCGTGATTGGTGTGCTGGATGAGGTTAAAAAGCTTGTGATTATATTTAGTATTGTGAATGAATTCTAATATTGGGATTTCTATAGGTTGAATATATTCATGCGGGGCAATGAGGGGTCGTGATTCTTCTACATTGAAGGTCTTGGTGAGTGGACAAAATATTTACCGTTGGGTTATTGGGTCATATATTCGGAGGGTGTCTTCAAAGTTAGCTTTTTTTATACAATATGTGAAATTTAGGAAAAATGGTGATGTGTACTTAGAGTTTATAAATTGAAATCGATGGTGGGGTTGTCGTTATGGTGTGTGTAAGTTAAAGTGATTTTGAATGAATCTATAGTAAGTGTAAGTATGCATTTGCTTAGTTCTCAGCACGACGTCGTGTGAACAGTGCAGATCTCGTTCTTTTCGAGTGAGGAAGTGGAACGTTAGTGAAAAAGTTTCAAATTTGTCGTAAAATGATTCATAAGCCTGGATGTCGATTAGTGCATCGGAAATGATGTGATCGTGTTTTTTATCCATTGAGCTTAGTGTAAAGATATAGAGTGTTCGGATGAAAATTTTTTCGGTTTGTTGCGGGTTAGCAATCTTGTCGTCGTCGAGGAATTGATCTTGGTTAGGTCTGATGATATTGTGGTCATAGTTCTCGATGGAATATTCATTAGCTCGGGGTGCGGTGAAAATTTTTAATAGCTTTTTGTATCCTACATGCGTAAATTATCTAGGTGTTAATGCTGTAGTTAGTCTAAAAAGGTCATTTTTACTTTTTTCTAATTGTTGAGGTGTGATAATTAGTGGTATACAAAGTGGGTTTGAGAAATGATAAAATGATGTCCAGTGGAGTGTGGGGGTTAGTACATGCTCATCGACATAGTGGGGTTGCTCAGTGTGAGGGTTGTAGTGACTAATTGTATATTGAGGAAAGAGAGGGAAAAAAATTTGGAGAAATTCGGCAGTATTAGCATAATCAGGGTGGTTTACATAATCGTGGCTGTTGCGGGTTTGGAGGGAAACGGGTGGTTAGGAAACTTTCTTTTGAATGTTCTATATGCACGGTTAGTAGTGGATGATGATTGGGTTGATGTTGATGATTGAGCTAAAGAAGGGGTATAATTTGAAGAGGGTGTAGGAGATGGTGGGTTTGATGATGATATGGTTGACGATAGTTGATGAATGGTTAGGATGTGAGGGTGTTGTACTTGTTGTTGTAGTGTTATTAAGTTATTTAGTTCATATGAGATTTGCGTGGTTTCTGGGGAATTGTTGTTAGAACGTTCATTGGTGAATGGGGAGTATGTCGGGGTTACTTGGGAAATATGAGAGATAGTAGAGGGGGAATCAGTTTGGGATTGGGAGTGGATGGGAGGAAAGGGGGTTCAGAAAATGTTGATGGACCGGGTTCGGAGTTTGCGAATTCGTCTGGGGTTTCTATATCTGAATTATTAAATTGGGAAATTGTATGAAAAACTGTGATATCTGAGTTAGCGTCAGAATCCATGCCGGATGATGTGTTAAGATGGGGAGATTCGGGTGGCGGGAGAGAAAAAATGGATGATGGGAACTGGGTTTTGGAGATTGGCTGGATGGGAAATTGAACGGTGAAGGGATCCAATTTATCGGCTCATCGTGAGTTAAAAAAATGATTGTTCTGAGATTGAAAATTTGTGGTATGTGGTTGTTCGATTATTTGTTCATATGTATCGTCATTTTGAGATTGTTGTGTTACTATGTGGTGAATTGGACTTTGTATATGATTTGGTCTTGAATTTGCAATATTAACGAGTGCTAAAT